TTGCAAGGATTAAAAAAAATCTAAATGCATTGTTCAGGAGATGTTGAGGGGAGGGCTCATTTCCCCTTCAAATGTCAATGAAAAGTATGTAAATTCCAATTAAAAGGGGAATGTTCACCCTTCCAGATCCTTTTACATGCCACTGGACATATATTTCACCTTTTATTAATTTTTGGTCATATCCATTTAAAGTAATCCCCTGTGATCAGTTTTCCAGTCTTCATTTCTAGTTCTTGGTTCTTATATCATTTTAAAAGGGAGTTTTGCTTATAACTTTAGCAAGGAGAACTATGTGGTAAATATTGCCTTATCAACTGTAATTTGACCCATATATTCATGTCAAATTGATTTTATGGGAAAACCCATACATTGCTACGGCACATTTTTTATGGAAATTAGGGGTTGATAATGGGACTGTTGCCACCAGTGGTGCAATGGGTTAAACCCTTGTACCAGCAGGACTGCTGACTGACAGGTCAATGATTCTAATTCTGGGGAGAGCAGGTTGCGCTCCCTCTGTCAGCTCCAGCTCCCCATGCAGGGGCATGAGAAAAGCCTCCCACAAGAATGGTAAAGCATCGAACATCCGGGTATCCCCTGTGCAACATCCTTGCATACGGCAAATTCTCTCATACCAGAAGTGACTTGCAGTTTCTCATGTCAATCCTGACACATACACACACAAACCAACCTTAAATCAAAAACTTAATGTTGCTTTTGCATTTTTCGGTTTTGCAAGGGCAGTTTAAACTAAAGTACTTCATTAGAGAAAGGCAGTATCTAAAACTGAAACATTTGCTACAATCCAGATTGTATCCCAGGTTCCTTTAATATTAGAGATATTGAGGTCAACCAGTGTCCAAACAAACAATATATCTACAGTATATCTATACATAAATATGACATGCAAGGTTTACAACAAGAATGGAATATAGAATTTTAAAATACAAATCTGACAAAATCAATGGTCTTGGATTTAACATCTATAACTAGCATGGCTAGTATCTCTCACTATGTTTTCTACAATTACTCTTGGATATATTTGTGGCCACACTGTCTATTCAATAAAGAGCTTTTCTAAATTAGTAAACTGTTAAAAATGCAATATTTCTAATACTTCTTTTATGAATAATTTTGGAGTTGTCCCATAGCAGCTACATATTGGGGAAAAAGTAAAATTCACTTTAGAAAGTTCCTTGATATTCAGGAATGTGCATGTTCTTTTACATTATTTACTTGTTTCTTGGAAATTAACAAATGACTGGCTGAACCAGACTTTTTGGCATCCCTTTGACTGTTAGAAGATACTTTTTAACTGAAATATATATATATTTATACTGGAACATTACTGTATGTAACCGAGATCTCCCTAGAATATATGTAAATAAATAAATAATATATTTTTCACAATTTGTATATAACTGATTCACATGAATACAAAAAATTCTCTGCAGAAAAATATTTTTGTACCAAAAATTATTTGCTATGCATAAAATGCTGTTTTCAGTACAAAACAACCATGTGCAAATTTTGTTCAGAATAAGTCCCAAACTGCAAATAGCATTTGAAAACTGTGTGGTTTTCAAAGACTTTCTCAGAACAGAAAGAAAATTGCTAGAGACTAAGACAGATCTAGAACATGGAAGGGCATGTTGTTGCTTTCCAGATTTGTTACGCCATAGATTAAAAAAACTACAGCTAAAGGAAGTTATGGTACACCAATTTCTATATGGTCACAATTGCAGAGTTCTGCTTTGTTTTGATCTAACAACGGCTACTAGTCATGAACATCGCACAAAACCTCTATTGTCAGAAGCAGTCTACCTTTCCCTACCACTTTGGTTGGAGACCAACAATGTAGGAGGGCTGTTGGGTTTGGCCCCCACTCATGAGTTTATCAAACACATCTGTCAGGAAATGACCCTACATTCGGAGCATTAAAAATAGGTTTTTGAGGAGCATAACTTCCAAAATCCCATACTCAGCATGACTGTTTTCCAAGCTCTCATGAATGTCGATTAATCTCCAGCGTGATCCAACAAGGTTTTACTTTCAGGTTAGAATGTGTCCAATGAATTCTCATTGTTTGTGTTTTCTTTCTCTGGCAAGCCATCTCAGATACATTTCTTACAACTGGTGCTTTGTATACTATTTTGTTGCAATAATCTAAAATTCTACTTTCCTTCATATCAAAATGTTGCTGTATCCAAATTATTGCTCAATAGATATCAGAATCTAACTCACATGACACTACCCGAAATCAGTTGCCCCCAAAATAGTCACTTCTTTATAACTGCAGTATTTGGTATATACTGCATTTTTCAACCTAACCCAAACTAATACTGATAAAAGGCAATCATATTTCTTTTCATTTGTAATGGCATATTCTACACCAGTATACTAAAATAAGCACAACATGGTTAGGCAACAGGGCTAGTTTCGGTATCTTCCCTTTGATGGTATAATGCAGCGTAAAATGGTAACACAATCCAATGCTTATTTTGAGTACAGGAAAGCGATATTTCAAGTAGACAAAACTGTTCTTAACAGCACAATTACAGATGGACAGATAGATATAGATATTTTGTGTGTTCCTTCAAGTCATTTCTGATTTATGGTGACCCTTAGGCAAATCTATGAAAAGGTTTTCTTAAGCAAGAGTGAGTTATGCCTTTGTCTCCCTTTGAGGCAGAGTGTGTGAATTGCGCAAAGTAACTCAATGGGTTTCCATGACTAAGCAGGATTCAAATCCTGATCTCCAGAGTTGTAGTTCAACACTCAAACCACTACATCACATGTATTTACATGTATCCAATTTTCACCACTGTAGTTCTATAGATTTTCCTGAGAGCAAGCTCTGCTTACATATAAACATGATTTATTTTCATGTAAACATTCATAGGACTGCATTATGCATCCCTGGGCAGGAGAAGATGCTTTATTTGGTTGGTCACTTTTTACAATGGAAACAAATAAAATGCAAAAACTTTGCAGCCACTTTTCTGCAGTTAACTTTAGATACTCAAAACATGCCAACCCCAAACATAAAGAGACAAATCTCTGATGTTCAGAGAAATTCCTCCCAGATGAGTGAGTACAAGATAAAAGCATTATAATCTGAGAGGATGAACACAAAACCAAAATGTGACCGTACTAGTGCCGTTGTTTCACTGTAGACCAAAAATACGAGTATTTCCTTTAAAATAACTATAAATAATTGATAGAGGAAATAGTTACTTTTCAGACTGGACCTTTTAAAGGTTAATATTAAAGAAAAATACATTTGACAGGAAGGAACTGTGTAATCTTTTAATCACCACCATCCATAGCCAAGTTCCAAATATCAATTATAAAGCAGATAAAAGGAATTTAATAGACTCCCACTTGCCCATAACAATATCAATCTGTTTCACACCTATTGGTGATTCACTAGTTATATATTCTTATTTTCCTTTTATAAGCAAGGTAGCATTGTCTATAAAGCTGATCAGTTACAATGCATGTGAAGACAAAAGGCTATTTTATACTGTGTGCCTATCAGCAACAATCTAATGGCAAAAAAGACTAAGTAAATTTCTAACGTGACCATAGGTCCTTAAAATTGAGACAATCCCTCTGAAAATCCTAACAAAATACTTGCCTTCTTTGGAATAGAATTCAAAATTCTCCTATAGTTCAAAGGGGACTGGGAAATGGCTAGTGATGTATGAAGCAGCAATCCTCTAAACACACTAACAAGGGAGTAAGTCCTGTCAGATTCAGTGAGATTTACTTCAGAATAAATATGATTAAGAATGATCCTGTAAATTCTCTGAATAGCTGCCACTCTGGAATCTATACCCACTGATGTAAACAAATCTTTAATACCTTAACCCTAGGCATTTTTGCCAGGAAGTAAATCCCACTAATTTCACAGGCACCAAGGAATATAGCAACTGGGGGTTGCAAAATGGGGACATTTCCTTCCAAAGGATTTTGCTTCCCCCTTGAAATTTTCTTTCAGTCCCCAAATTTCTAGCATCAAAGAGAGTAGGACACTGAAAATCATGTTCACCAAGAACTCTTACATTTGCTATGTTTGCATTTTCTGGGCAACTTGGTCTGCCTTTTTTTCTTCAGAAGTCTAAAATATATCTCTAAATGATGCATTGGATTTTAAAGTTACTGCTATGCTAAAAATTGGGAACTAAAGAAAAACTTCATGGTGTGTGTGTGTGTGCTCTCATTGTGCCCCCTTCACCAGAGCTACAATTCTGAAAGTAATCCTGAAGTCCGCTTAGAAGGTTGAGGAGCAGTGCTGGCACAATGGGTTAAACCCATTGCTGGCTGAACTGCTGACCTAAAGATCGGTGGTTTTAATCTGCAAGATGGAGTGAGCTCCTGCCTGTCATCCCCAGTTTCCCATACAGAGACATGAGAGAAGGCTTCCACAGGATGATAACACATCCAGGCTTCCATTGCCCAACGTCTCTGTAGACAGCTGATTCTCTCACACCAGAAACAACCTGAAGTATTTTCTCAAGTCGCTTCTGACATGATAAAAAAAGCTTAAAGCATCATTCTTAATGGAGGCAATCCTGTTGCATTGCTTTTACAACACCTTTTCATCTTCTCTTATTTTACTTGACTAAACAAGATGTTGCCATTTCCCTCTCACCTTGCAAATGCCCTTCAAATATTGCTATTGGAAGCTGTGCTCCCTGATGCCACCCTCAATTGAGTGTACAAGAGGGTGCTGGTGCTGGGAGCGATCCACAGAAGGAAGAACTGGCAAAACTAAGTTGCATCCTGACCCCAGCAAGATGGCTTTGTGAAATTCTGGTTCACCAATAGAAAAGTTCTACTTGTGGAAAATTCCTTCTGCTTCTACTCAATTTCATAAAAGACCTGACTATGAGACAGAGAAGTTATGTATTAAGGGTCTGTCATTCCTGGTCCTGAATGCAAGCACCATGATGTGGAATAGTTGGAATATTAGAATAGCTATGAAATCAACTCACCAATGGTGACATCGATCCATTTGGCAAGTAAGGGTCAGACAGCATGACGAAAGGGTATCCAGAGTAAGCCGATCCTTTGTACATCCCTGGATCTTGATGTTTTAAACCTGTTGCAATTCAAGTTTGACATGAGGACTTCTCCTTATGAGCATTTCCACCTCCCTCCTTCACTTAATATAATAAGAGGAACCACATTTGAGAATCATTTTATTCATCACACAGCAGCATGTTTAAATGGACCACAAACAAGATCACACTCCCTCGCCTGAAATTAATTTCTTGGTGACTGCCAGACATCAGCAACTGACAATCTGCCCACAAAAAACCAGAGCAATGGGTTCCTTGTATGTGTCTGTGCCTTAAAGTTGCCTGTTGACTTAGGGCAACTATGGGCATTTCAGATTCTTTTTAAGGCAAGGTATACTCAAGAAATGATTTTGCCAATTCTTATCTTTGAAATATAACCTATGGCACCTGGAATTTGTTGGCATCTCCAACCCAAGTACTATGCATAACTGACCCTGGGAGCATCTATAACAGGCATGGACCAACTTCAGCCCTCCAGGTGTTTTGGACTTCAACTTCCACAATTCCTAGCAGCCTACTGGTCTATACTGATGACCTAATGTGCTTTGATGGCACCTTGAGAATACATGTTGTGACTGTGTGCAGCATTGTGCATTAGGGACTTTGAACCAGTAAGTAAAACTATCTCCCCGTGGGGACTCAGGGCAGTTCACAACATAAAAGCCAAATATTCCTGTGCCTTATAATACAATAGACCTGTGGGTCCCCAGGTGTTTTGTCCTATAACTCCCAGAAATCCCAGCCAGTTTACCAGCTGATAGGATATCAGGGAGTTGAATGCCAAAACATCTGAGGACCCACAGGCTGAGAACCACTGCAATAGACTAAAACAATTCAAAATAAACATAACAGATCATTCGACAATAAAGCAACTCACATGAAAACAATAATAAATTACACAATGCTAATAAAACAGAACCAAGGTAAGCAAAGTTGGGGGATACTCTCAAATATGTATCAGCCCACTTCAGTGTAAACCACATCGCACACTGAAAGCAATCAAAGTATTTAGGCCCTTTGTGTTTTCCTTAAAGTTGGGTTTTTTTTTTCATGTCAGCCAGATTGCTCACTGGAGTGGGGTACAGAGAGCGTACAACTCCCTTGTTACACCAGCTCCACTGGCCGTCTATTAGCTTCTGAGCACAATTCAAAGTGCTGGCCTTGACCTATAAAACCCTAAACGGTTCCGGCCCAGCTTGCCTGCCCGAACTTATCTCCTTCTACTACCCTCAAGGACCTTAAGATTGTCTGGAGAGGCCCTGCTCTCAGTTCCATGCCATCACTGTCGTGTTTGGTGGGAATGAGAAACAGGACTATCTCGGTGGTGGCCCCTTGGCTGTGGAACTCCCTCTGTAACGAGATCAGATCTGTCCCCTCCCTCATGATCTTCTGGAAGAAGCTCAAACCCTGGTTATGGGATCAAGCGTTCGCAGAATAGACTGTTTTTAGCTGATGGTAATGGATTGATTTGGAAGATGATATGAAATGGAGAACTGTTTTAATGTATTTATAGGTGGTTTTAATGTAGGTTAAGTGTATATGATGTTTGTTTATTGTTCAGGACTGATTGGTGCCTGTTTGTAGCCGTCCTGAGGCCCTCTTTAGAGGTGAAAAGGACGGGATAGAAATGCTCCTAAACAAACAAACAAACTGCAAATCACTTCAGGTGTGAGAGAATTGGCGGACTGCAAGGATGTTGCCCAAGAGACAGTCGGATGTTTTACCATCCTGTGGGAGGCTTCTCTCATGTCTCCACATGAGATGCTGGAGATGACAGGGAGCTCACCCTACTCTCTGGATTCAAACAGCAGACCTTTCGGTCAGCAGTCCAGTTGGCACAAAGGTTTAACCCATTGTTCCATCAGGGGCTCCTAAAATTGGGTTCAGGAGGAGGAAGACACTGCTGGCTTTCTCTTGGGTGTTCCCTGCTACAACAGACCCACCTAGCTGTTGAATGGTTTGTGAATGTATGGGATATTCAATTGGTTGAATGGGTCTCCTCTAGGAGAGGCAAGCAACACCATCCAGACCGTGGTTTGTGTTCTCCAGTCCCGGGCTTTGCCCTGCTCCAGGTACCTGAACTGGCTTCTCCTGCTCAGGTGCTCCAGGCCTGACGCAGATCACTCTGGGCGACAATCCCTGCTCTGCAGTTCCCGGGGCCACCTGGCTCTACCTGTCTGCCTCCCTCCTGGCTTCTTTCCTCCATCCAGGTGAGAAACACTCCATTAACCTCATGTCAGGGAGGGAAGGGCAGCGAAGAGTTTGCCCGAGGTCCCCAAGTTCCTCGGCCGGGCTCTCCTTCCTTCCCCAGTTGCACTTTGCATCCCCGCGGCTCTCCTCCTCACACACAGGCCAAACAAACCCAGAAATGCTCCCTCCTAGCCGGAGAAAAGGGGCGGGCGGGAGGGGAGAGGAAAGGGGAGAATGAATGGAGAGAGGAAGGGAAGGAAGGAGGGAGGGATGCCGAAACTGACCCTCTTCCATGTGATCCGGGAGCTTCTCCGGGTAGACCCGCTGAGGATCTTGCAAGCGCCGGATCGCCTGTGGAGGGAGGGAGGGAGAGAGAGAGAAGGGGCGATGAGAGGAATAGTAACAACCCCACCGCAAGAGGAGAGGGCGAGCCGGGGTGAGGGCGAGAGGAGGAGGCCTTCTTTGTGGCGGCTCACCTCGCCCGGGGCTCCCGGGTCGGCCGGAGGGGCGTTGGGGGCGCCGGGGTTGGCGCTGGGGGCGCCCTCGGACTCGTTGACCAGGGAGGACTTGAGGTCGGCCAGGTCGCCCCCCTCGGGGAAGGCGCTGGCCTGGCTCTTCTCCTCCTGCTCGCCCTCGTCCTTGAAGGCCAGCATCTCGTCGTTGGCGCCCAAGTCGTCGCCGACGCCGCTGTTGAGCTGAGGCATGCTGCCGGGGGCTCCCGCTCTCTTTCTCCGGCCAACTTGTGGGGCGGGGCGGACAAGGGGAGCCGGGGGTCGTCCTCTCCTCCTTCTCTGCCCTCTCCCTGTCTCTCCAACCCTCCTGCGCCTTCTGAGAGGAACGAGGGACTCGAGCGGGCTTGCACCTCCTGCCCCTCCACCAAAGGCGGCAATTAGGGGGACCCAGGCGGAGAGGAGGGAAACCCGCCCCCTTCCTCCCTCCCTCCCTCACTTGGCCCTCCCCCCCCTCCTCCTCCTCCTCCTCCTCCTCCTCCTGCCTCAGGAAAGTTTGACTAACTAGCTGCCAGCCCAGCCTGAGTGAGACAGGAGCAGCAGCGCCGGAGGGGTTGAGCTCAAGAGAAGGGAAAAAAATGAGCCCAGCAACCGAGCGCGCGCCGGGCAAGAGCAGTGTGTGAATGTGTGCGCGCGCCGGGCAAGAACCAACCCCGCGCCTCCCTCCGCCAAAGGCGGCCCAGATCAAAGACGCCGCCGGGTGATTGGCAGTCGAGGGGCGGGGCCGGAGGATTCTTTCTCCCGCGACGCGCTCCTGCCTTAAAGAGACAGCACACTCTTTTCTTTTTCTCCCTCTCTTTCGCTCGCTTGGAGAAGCGAGCGAGCGAGTAAGCAACTCAGGGCAGGGAATTGATTAACATTTGGGCACTTCTCAGAGCGGGAGGAACGCGGGAGGAAAAACCTTCCCTAATTCCCCAGTTCTAGGACCTCTTTGGAGACCCAAACCCACGGATGCTCAAGTCCGGTGATACACAAGGTAGAGGTTTCCCCTTGACATTCAGTCTAGTCGTGTCCGACTTTGGAGGGTGGGGCTCATCTCCATTTCGAAGCTGAAGAGCCGGCGTTGTCCATAGACACCTCCAAGGTCATGTGGCCGGCATGACTGCATGGAGTGCCATTAGCTTCCTGCAGAAGCGGTACCTATTGACCTACTCACGTGTGCATGTTTTCGAATTGCTAGTTTGACAGAAGCTGGGGCTAACAGCAGGAGCTCACCCCGTCCCGCGGATTCGAACCGCCAACCTTTCAGTCAGCCAGTGCTGCAGTTTAATACACAATGGCGTAATAAAACTACATTCCTGATATAAAATGGCAAAATCAAGCTGAACTTTGGGGAATCCTTTTTGAATGTTTTTTAAAAAGCCTTTGATAGTTGAATTCGTGGACTGCAAATACACTGGAGTGTGAAAAGGAAGCCCCACTACTCCATGGGCAGAGCAGAGATGTAGCGGACTCCTCTTTATGGGCCTTCCTTCCGCCAGGGTGGGCTCCTTGCTCCGAGTCAGGCGAGGGGCTCCCTCCACTTGCCCCTCCAGGAGTTGGCACTGCCTCATTCAAGGGAATGATGGCCACGATCTTTAACACCCATTCGACATAAAGGAGGGTCTCCCAGCCACACTCCTAACCTAAACCCGAAACGGCTTGAAGGTACACAAAGGTGGGATGTACGGCTTCTTCTTTGGGTTGCGGTGAGTTTTCTGGGCTGTATGGCTATGTTCCAGAAGCATTCTCTCCTGACGTTTCGCCCGCATCTATGGCAGGCATCCTCAGAGGTTGAGGGCTCTGTTGGAAACTAAGACAGTGAGAATGTGTTGTCGAAGGCTTTCGTGGCTGGAATCACTGGGCTGCTGTGAGTTTTCCGGGCTGTACGGCCATGTTTCAGAAGCATTCGGTCCTGACGTTTCGCCTACATCTGTGACAAGCATCCTCAGAGATTCCGACCATGAAAGCCTTCAACAATACATGTTTCTTCTCTGAGTGCGGAATGGTTTTCTTCGGGCGTCGTCCAGCACATACCAAACAACGGTCCTGAAGCGCCTCAGGACTCAGGCTCTCAGTCAGGGCACCAACTTGAGAAAGAGGCGGCAAGGATGGGAAGAGAGCCTTCCATGTCTTTTGCAGGCTCGCCAAACTTTCTCCATTCATAACTTCTAACGGGACCCGTGTGAAAGGGCGCATCTTCTACACTTGTATAGAATTAAAGCACTCTGACAAATGCCCAATCTTTTAGTCCTCGTCTAGGATTCTAGATGAGGACGCCACTTCAGTCAAACTGGTATGGAACCCACGTGACTGGACAGTGCAGGCAGAGCCTTGCATCTTATTTGCGAACCCAGAAATGGCCGGACCACTCCAACAACCACCATGTCAGACTATATAAAGAAGCCATTAAAATCCACAAGCATGGGGGCAATTTCATTAGAAAGGAAGAAACCATGAAAATGAACTAAATCTGACTTCCAGTATGAAAAAAAATATATCTAAAATCAGGACAGTAAATAAAGAGCAAGACACAAAAAACAGGGGAATTCCAAACAAGAAATAATCAGATCCAGTTAACACCTCCCAACAAATGATTTCCCCAGGCGGGAAGCAACCAAGCCTTGAAGCCACAAGGCCGTTCAATGCTAATCAAGGTCATCAATTGCAGCATCCACACTTGCCTCCAACAGACAAGAATTCTTTCTCTATTCCACAGATATATAAACCCCACTTGCCTATTTTCCAACAAGCCTCTCAACCTCCGAGGATGCCTGCTATAGATGTGGACGAAACGTCAGGAGAAAATGCTTCTGGAACATAGCCATATAGCCCGGAAAACTCCCAGCAACCCAGACTTTTGCATCTTAATTAACAAGGGATTTTAGAGAGCCATGAGTTGTTCCAGCTTGCCTGGCAAGGTCAACAAACAGGACATTCATTCATCCACACGCTTCCAAAAAGCCCTGGAAGGCAACGTAGGGGCGATGGGAAAGTGGGAACGAGGACCTCACTGTCGTCCCCAGAACTGTTTGAGGGCGAAGGGCCTCGACACCGGCAGGCAGGCTGTTGTGATGAGCTGGGCCTCTTTGCAGGTCCTTGCACCATTTTCCCCATCCATTCTCTCCGAAACTGCCATCAATGGGGAACTTTTTCCAAGCACAATATGGCCTTACAAGGAATGGTTGCAGGCCGCCTTTCTCATTCTATTGATGGATCATTTCATACATTTCTCGCTGATGAGGAGTCTTGAGGCGCCATCTACACAGTTTTTTTTCGTGGCAGGAACGTCTTGAGAAACTGCAAGTCGCTTCTGGTGTGAGAGAATTGGCCGTCTGCAAGGATATTGCCCGGGGGACGCCCGGATGTTTTTGATGTTTTAACATCTTTGGGGAAGGCTTCTCTCCTGTCCTCGCATGGGTAGCTGGAGCTGACAGTGGGAGCTCAACCCGCTCCCCCCCCCCGGATGTGGTGTCAAAGTGGATTAATTCTACAGTGTAGATGCACCCGTGGTTCAACGCACCAAACTGGCTCTCTCTACACACAAAGGACTCACTAGAGAATGAATCCACTTTAAATCCGGTTTCTGCCTCCTGCAGAATTCTGGGATTTGTAGTTTAGTGAGGTTGTTCAAAGCTCCTCCCTAAACTACAAACCCCAGAATTCTGCAGGAGGCAGAAACCGGATTTAAAGTGTATTTATTCTCTAGTGTGATGAAGTCTCAGGAGGAGTGAGAGAGAGTCCGTTTGGAGCGTTGAGCTACGGATGCACCTACACTTTGACAACATATCCGGTTGAGCTCCCTCTGTCAGCTCCAGCTCCTTTTTAACTCTCAGCCCGGCGCCTAATTGTCACTTCCAATGCTTCTATTCCTTTTAGCATCTCCAGTGTTTTGTTTCGAAGGAGGAAGCTGGATTTTTCTGCTCGCTCAGAAACAACTCTCGCCTTAGTTTTGACTAGATTTACATCGGATTAATGACATTTATGGACACCCTTTTTAAAGCGGTGAGATAAAGGGGCGGGGGGAGGGATGTATGTGTTTGTTTGCTTCTGTGGAGACTTCCAGTCCTTCGTAGCAACTCCCTTTGATCTCCCTCCTGGGACAGAACAACGCGAAGTTACTTTTTGCCTGGATGTCTAGGGAGCTTTTGCCCAAAACCAGTCTGGAGTTCAAGCGAGAGAGTCTTCTCTGGGTGAAACTGGACAGTTTGGAAGGGTCAGACCCCACAACCTCTAGGGATGCCTGCCATAGGTGCAGGCGAAACGTCAGAAGAGAATGCTTCTGGAACATGACCATACAGCCCAGAAAACACACAACAACCCAGTGATTCCGGCCATGAAAGCCTTCGACAACAGTTTGGAGGTGTGTTTCCCCCCTCTTTTCATACCCAAATGAGACGGGAAGGGAGGGGGAAAAAGAGGGGGAAGGAAATATAAATATTTCCTAGTTTGAAAATCCCCCAAATCTTTTCCTCTCTCCTCCTCGTTTTCCAAAGATTCTCTTGGTTTTCATGTGGTGGGAAACAACAGACACACACACACACATATCCAGAGTCGCCTGCCATTTCCAGCCCTCCCAAATGGAGATAAAACCTTGGCAATGAGTTGGAAACCTGTTGTAATCTGTGATCCAGGAAACAAAGAGGCTCATTAATGCAGAGTCTTTGGTGAGCCTTTGATGTTAGCTAGCATAGCATTCACTCTCAGTGCCATTTGCATTTAAACATTCATAAACATCATCTCTGCTTCCTTTGCCTTAAGCAATTTAGGAGTAAAGTATAGCTTCTATTTAAAGAAACCCACTGTGGTGAGGCTTAGAATACAAATATCACATAATCTTCCGACAGAGAGCAAATATTTTATTCTGAAAGGCTAGTGGACGGACACACATCTGATAGGCAGGAGACCCCAAGTGACACAGATAAAGGACAACTTATATTCAAAAGGAGACAAAGAGAAAGAGCGAGCAGCCCTATGCCTAGCATGTATGTACACAGAGCATGCATCCACACTGCAGAATTAATGCAGTTTAATAGCCCAGTGCTATGGAATCATGGGAGTTGTCCTTTCCAAGCCTTCCCCAGCAAACTGCAACTCCCAGGATTCCAAAGCATTGAGCCAAAGCAGTTCAAGTGGTGTCAAACCCTATTCATTCTCCAGTGCACATGCACCCATACACACCACATTGTAGGTGTGTTACATTTTGAACTACAACTACCAGAATCCCTTATATAGGCAGCTCAGCCACACTGCTGTGGGGTTTGTGTTTCAAATAAGTCTCTTTTCCTGGCTCCCATTCTTACATTTTATGGGATTTGGGGATTAAGGTTAGATGTGTTTACAAGTTTGAGTAGATGAAAGTTGTAACAATCACATGCAGTTCCTCAAATGAAGCACCCACTGTCACCAAGAGGCCTTTGTGGTGTAGA